TTCTTCCCACTTCCCTGAACCAGTAAGTCTTCACCAGCTGCGAGCGAGCAACTACTACACAGTAATTATAAATGTCAATTACTATACATTTCAGTTCTAGAGTAATTATTTAATCTGTAATTTATAGCATTTGTCCACTTTTGTTTTGGCAGCTTCCATCAGAAGCACGTAACTCAGAGCCACGTAACAAGCTCAGTTTGGTAGCGGGACAGTAAGTACTTATTTACTTTTTCCTTTGTACTTGGTTTTGTTCAGATTTTGATGCATTCGTCTACTTATATTTCACTTATGTTTTTTTTCTCAGTGTATATCCATCCTCTTGAGCATCAAAGCAAATTATGAGGATAATCAAGGTACATCTCGATAAAGATGGATACACATGGGATGTCGTACCACAAGAGGTGAGAGACTTTTATTGGGAAGAATTTTAGGTACGATTTGGTTTAAGTTATATCTTCATTCAATGTTTACAATTAATCAAGCTACCTCTCTTTATTGAAATTTTATTTTTCATTTTTTTTCATTTTTGCAGAAGCATTTCGTATGGGAAGAGGCAATTACGGCTATGCTAAAAGTGACCTGAGAGAAATTTTGCACTCTATGATATGCTGACTTCACCTATAGGATGCGAAAAAGTGTGTAAGAAGCAGCAGTGCGTGTCTCACGAGTTATGGGAGAGCTGGCAAAAGGCTTGGGAGGATCTTGCATTCAAGAGAAAGCGTGAGATATTTGCACAAAAAAGGCGCAGTGAGACTGGTGGTGATGGAGCAGGACCTTCTCGACATACAGGCAGATCAATATCTACTATAGAGACATCTCGATTATTAGTGAGTCAACTAGTCATAGTTACAAAACTAATGTTTAATGAAATGACAGCATATTAATATAAATGAAATGACAGCATATTTAATATAAAATTCAAAATGCATAAAAATTCATTACAAGGCTGAAAAATAGGTCGTGAGCCCACCACAGGCTGAAAAATATGGTCGTGAGCCCACACCGATGGAGGTGTTTACTTACACTCACACGAAGGACCACGATTGCCATACGTTTGTCGACAGACGTGCATTGGGTGTCAATGTAAGTAATAATGAAGAATATTTACATTTACCTTCTAGTCGTTTCTTACATATACAAGTTCAGTATAATAAAGCTTGCAACTGCATTGATTAATTAATTTATTATTTTCAAGAGAACTACTGTACAGCTCGCGAGCGTCTTGTTTCTTCTCAGGCTGAATCTGAAGTTGAGTCAATAATTGATGAGTTAGCACTTTATCTGGAGGCCATAGCGGGTGAAAAGAAGAGCAAAGTATATAGCATCGGGTCTCAGGCATCACAGTTTTACTGCGGCTCAACATCGTACGCTTCTGCAGTTGGCTCAGGACCACAGCCCAACCACAGTGCCGAGGAGATTACTGCATTACGGGCTCATGTTGATGAGCAAGAGAGACAGCTTACAGAGCTTAGAGCGCATGTCATGCGGATGTCCGATCAGCCTGGTGCTGGTACTTCTTCCTCTGATCCTCCGCCTGCTACAGATCAAGATGTTTAAGATGTTTCAACAGCTCAGCAGCGAAGCCACCGCCGTCTCCTTTGACCCGATACTACAAGACGATACCGTGGTCCACTCTGCCCGACACTACGACAACATACAGCAGGTACTCTCGCCCGGCCGATACGACACTCGAGCCGTGCAGGATGACCAAGCCTCGTAGATTTGATTTTGGACCTTTTTAGCTTTTTGTGGTTTTTTTCCTGCAGATGACCAACCTCGTAGATTTGATTTTGGACCTTTTTAGCTTTTTGTGGTTTTTTCATATTTTGTATAGTACATTACATTAATAATTACATTTGTACATTGTTATTGTGTTGTGATCCTAATGATGATACTTCTGATTGTGAGATATATATATTTATTTATTTATGCCGGTATTCACAGGTGCAAAAAATTATGAATTTTAATATTATTAAATTTTTTTTTTTTTTGTAATTGTATATTTGCGACCGAACTGCAACTAAAATTTTAACCGTTAAATTTAAAATTGCGACAGATTACTAACAAATCGCTTTCAACATTTGCAATCGATTTGTGACCACCCGTTCATAATTGCAACAGACACAATCTGCGACCAATTTGCGACAGCATTTCAAAAGAAAGACACGACCAAATTTTGCGACCGATGTTTATAAATTTTGTGACTGACATTTCGGTCGCCAATTTGGGACCGATTAGTAATTCGGTCGCAAATTGCCACGAGCAATTTTACGACTGATAATAATAGGTCGCAAATCGGTCGCTGATCTAATTTAGCGACCAATTTCTAACATTTTGCTACTAACTGATGAACGAATTTTTTGTAGTGAAACTATTACTTCATTTGATTATCTAATTTTCTTCGTATTGAAACTATTACTTCATTTGTTGAATTATTTTTTAAAATAAAAAATTATTTATTTATTTTTTAAAAAATATTTATTATATTATTTATTTTTTATTGACTATTAGATAAAATTTAGAGCGTTTTATCTTATATTTAAACACTAATTGATATTATGATATTATAATTTTAGTGCAACATTCTCACTATATGCAAGAACAAATATTAAACTTATAAGTTTAATTTTTGCATCACTTTGAGGAATAGTTTCTCAAATGACATTATTTTTTGTTATTGTCCTATTGATAGAACACTTTACTATTGTTTTTATTTTGTTTTATTTATTAGACTTATATAATAAAAGAAAAATTTTATTTTGTTTTATTTATTAGACTTATATAATAAAAGAAAAATTACAGTACAATTTTTGTGATTTGCGAAATATATCTATTATGTTCCTACCTTTTAGAATATACTAAAATTTTCTTATAATTTTCTTATAATTTACTTCCGTCGGTTTATAAGGTATTTCCGTCAGTTTATAAGGTCCTTCCGTTTAAAATTTACATCTTTTCTGTTAAGTATTTTATGAAATGACAAAAATATCCCTTTTATTTTTAAAAACACAGGGACAAACTAGTTATTTTTCAAATCATAGGGGTTGCATTGTAATTTTTCTGGTATAATATTTTAGTATCTCTCTTTTGACCTATATTTTTTTGTTGATTTAACGGAAAAGATGGAAAAATTTGACAAAAGAACCTAATAGTGTAACAAAAGCAAAACATAAGATAAATTTATATTTTAAAAAAGTCAGAAACTGAGTGGTTGTGTTTCACAAACTACATGGATCATACTATAATTTTTCCTATAATGAAAACATAATCTTATATTAGTATTTGAATATTAATTGTGATGTGAGTATTTATAACCAACAATTCATATTTTAGATGGTCACCATGATGATTAATAAAATAATAAAATAATGTACCAAAAAGAAATAATTTTATAAATATTATAGTAAAATACTTTGAAACAACTGGCTTCTTTTTTATCCAAAAGAATTTAAAAGTTAAAGTAAAATTGTATTATTCCAATTTAATTTTTGAATTCTTTTAAACCAGCCTAATCCAATTGTGTACTGTGTACACCACCCAAAGTTTTTTTTTTTTTTTTTTTTTTTTTTACACCACCCAAAGTTTTTTTTTTTTTTTTTTTTTTTTTTTTTTTTTTTTTTTTTTTTTTTGAAAGTTTAAATTCCGGCTGTCTAGTTCAGTGATACAAATTCTAAATATATAATTTATTATATGAATTATTTTTAAAAATCTTATGGAATATGGAGGTGAAGAATAATTATTTGATTTTGTTGACATTGAGTTTTAGAAAATAAAAGGAAATAACAAATCAAATGTAGTCTGGTTGTTCTTCTAATCTTACCTTTTATAGAAGATATATAGAGTGAGAAGTCTCGAAATCTCAATTTCAGATCCTCTCTACCACTAAAGTTATCATTAATTTCGTAAATCTTATTCAATGGGTGAAATTTGATCCATTGGGTATTCCATGTATAAAAAAGGGAAATAAAAAATCTCCTTAATGAACTCTCATATCATTTTATTTCATTCTTATATGATTATGAAAGTTAACTAAACCTAACTCTGTCTTATTCTAAGCTTTTTTCCTTCCCCAAAACATTATAATACTGTCAACTTGATATTGTCCATATCTCTGTTAAGAATATTACAGAGAGAAATGCATGTAATTGGAACATATGCTTAATTTGAATTGGACTCTCAAAAGGATTAAACTCTGTGGCCTCTTAAATAATAATACATCTTCAATAATTTGAAGCTCACTGAGTGTAATATTGTTATTCTGTTACTTGCATCACATATTCTCATCTAAAATATATTTCTATTATAAAATATATTTAACTTAAAATAATTTAAATAGAGTCAATTATAATATTTTAAACTACGAATATTAATCAGGGTATTTCAATTTAAATTGAAATATGCAAATTGAATCAAATTCGAAACTTTTTTCAGCCAAACCTCATAAATTATTTATAAATAGCTTGACTCATTTATACTTTTAGAATTTTGCATGACATATTTCTAGAATATTCACACACAAGTATATATGATTTCTTAATTAAAGAAAAAGAAAAAGATTTCATTACTAATCATCTTTCTTTCATTAAATGTCAAGATCAATCTTGGACAGATTTATTTTCTAGTCCACATAATGAACTATATAAGATTTATTTTCTTAAGTCCACATAAGAACTATATATATATTATATATGATATAATTATATATACTATATATAATAATATATTATAGGTATTTTGAAGTATTTAGCTTTGTAATGAATAGGAGATGCTAAAAAAAATGGTATATATATATATTTTGGAGTATTAGCTTGTAATGAAGGGAGGATGCTAAAAAATGGTAGGAATTGGCATCAAAAGCAACACACAGAGGTTGTCTTTTTCTGAATTGAATATGAACCTACTTTAGATGCCATATATATTCTATCAATGTCCTCCATATTCCTTTTTTGTCTTACTTCATCAAAACCTATTGCATAAATCTTTGTATAAAATAAGCTATTATAGCTAGAGACCCATATAACCCCACCTCTGTTGATTCTTGATATCAGTTTGATGATGTTCTTGAAGCAATTTAATAAGGAAGAGCTTCTCTTTCTATTACAAAATAAGTATAATGATATTATCATTATCACATTTTTCTCTGTTGCAATAATTGCTTTCCTGGAAGCTTGGAGAAGAATCACTGCAAGCACAAGTAAGAGCAATGAAGAAGAAATCCCAGGTGGCGTTGGCGTGCCTTTCTTTGGTGAAACCTTTTCTTTTCTTTCAGCTACTAACAGTACAAGAGGTTGCTATGATTTTGTTAAGCTTCGACGAAAATGGTTAGTGATTATTCTCTTCACTTTCTGTTTATATCAAAGTAGTTTGTTCTTAAAATTACAATTTTCTTTTTCCCCTTAAAAAAATTCTGTGAATCAACATGTGAAAGAAAGTCATTTGTTTGCATAATGATACTAATAAAATAATTGCTATAGGTAAAAATTAAAAATGATTAGTTGTTCTAGAATTAGGAAATTCCATATTCAATTTGAACTAATTTTTACTGTTTACCTAATTTAATTAGTATTTATTATAATAACTAATGCATATTTCAAAGTATAATGGAGACAAATGATTGTTGAACAACAACTTTTTAAGTAGCTTTTAGCTTTTTGACTCAACGTCATTTTTATAATATTCAGTAACATAAAATTTGAACTAATTTTTAAAAATTAAGGTAGCTTTTTATAAGAGATTAATTCTTATAACAATTAGTTTTATAGCTATTCAAACAGTTAAATGCTATAAAAACAGTTTTACCAAAACGAATAATTTTGGCGAATAGGCCGAAAGAATTCATAGAGCCGACCCTTGCTAGTTTTGAGATTAAGGCTTAATTGTGTTTGTATAATCACCAAAAATTGCCACTTTCAGATTTTTTCAAAGATTATTCAGTTTAATAGACAATTAAGTAATCAAATAATTTGAACATAGCAGGGGCTTGGAAAGAATTTTTAAAATTAATGATTAAGCAGAAATATTATTTGCAATCTTCTCCTCCTTAAATTTTAATTTTGTTATTTAATAGTATTTCAATTATATATATATAGGTATGGGAAGTGGTTCAAGACCAAAATGTTTGGAAAAATCCATGTTTTTGCTCCAACAACAGAAGCTGCAAGACAGGTGTTTAGTAATGACTTTGGGGAGTTCAACAAAGGATATATTAAATCAATGGCAACAGTTGTTGGAGCAAAGAGTGTTTTTGCTGCTCCACTTGAGAGCCATACAAGGATTAGGCATGTTCTTTCTGCTCTCTTTTCTATGCCTTCTCTTTCTAAATTTGTTGGGAACTTTGATCAAATACTATCTCAAAGGTTGAACAAATTAGAACAGAGTGGTAAAAGCTTTCCGGTGCTTGAGTTCACCATGAAGGTAACATTATATTGGCTTTTTTCTTTTTTTTTTTTTTTTTTTGTTAATTTTACTCTAATTTTAATACTTAATCTTCATTATATCCTGTATCAAAGAAAGAAAATTAATTTTTTATTACTATGTTTTTTTATTATTAGAAGGTTAAAAAATCAAATTGACAATTGAAGTTACTAAGGTTTTAGCATTGTTATTAAAGTAGCTATTGAAAGCGAAACACTGTTAAAATTTTATCAAAAGTTTTTTACAGTTGGTCTTAAAGTAATTTCACTTTTTCTAATCTTAAAATTTTCGAAATGGTGAAAGAATATTCTAGACTAACTATTACAATATTTAGCCAATCAGCTGTAATATAATTGGTCTTTTAATTAATATGAGGGGTGAAAAGTTTCAGGTTCAAGTCGTCTGAACCACATGAGCGTTCATCAATTAACTCGACTAGTGATAATTTATTGAGTTTAATTATGATTCTGATTAATTGAGTTGAACAAATTGTTTGTGGGTTATATTGCATTTAAAGCTAGCAATTTTTTTTTTTTTTTTTTTTTTTAAAATGAATGAGGATGTGAAAAAGTGAGTATATATTAGATGGCGTATAATTACACTAGAGAAAAGCACAATATTATAGATGGTTTATACGCCAATTCAGTTCTTGTCAATATAAATTTTTTGGTGCTTTTAATTAATATTGAGGGGTGAAGAGAGAGTGTACTCAGCTCGGAGGTCTTTCTATACATCTGTCTATTTTTGTTCTTGAGAGTGTATTCATCAGAAGTTCCATGAGTTCTCGATGCTCATAGACATCGACTGTTTGGAGTAGGCCTTCAAGAGCGCTATCATCCTTGCAATCTTCGAGACTTTGTAGACCATTTAGAGATTATTTATCTCTGTTGATTAAGAAATCTGTCAGCCTCTAGACTCTATTACATTGCTTGGCTCGCCGCTTTGCGTGTTTGTTTGGAGCTATTCGCAGTTTTAAAGCTCAGCATTTTTTTTTTCTCTTTTGGTTTTCTCTTTCTTTGTAGTCTCAATAACTAATTCTAATATTCCAATACCATAATGTCGCATTTGGAAGTTAGCAACTTCTACATATTTTATCGGAGGTCAGAGTATGTGCTGCACAATATGACCCCTAAGCTGTACCACTATCTATACTATGTGTTTTCTCTCGATCGCCAGCTATGTTTCATATATCAATTATTTTTTGTAAGTAGGATTCTGTTAGCGTTCTATTCTCAGTAGAATATCTAATAGAGACTTTGTTTATGATCCATTTGCTTAGTCCTCTACTATTAGCCTTTATTCTCTAGCTATGGGTCGGACTCTACTGATTTTTCGGACCACTTATTCGCTAAATATATAGCTGCCATGAAACGTAAGAAATGCAAAATTTTTTTATGGCGTGGACCTGTGTTATGTTTATTATAAGACTTTCATAAGTCTATAATATAAGTTGGTCTTGCCTGCTAACTCAAAAATTATAACATACCAGGCACGTGAAGGCCATGCAAATGCATTCATCTAGAGTATGATAGCCAGAAGGAGCACGTGCGACAAGGACAATAACAGACGCCCTTGTACACACTGTTTTCGCTCTCCAAGTTTTGCTCAGATTCAGTTAGCGCACCATTGAAATTTCCACATCCATCCTAATTGTGAGAGCAAGATATTAGGATTAGGATTTTTTTCTTCATCGTACCTTACGTATTAAGGTCTCGTCTATATAGTAGTCAATCAGTAATAGGTATTATGTTTTTCTCCATTAGGGCTAAGTGTTAGTCCCTCTGCGACACTGGTTTTTATGGTCTTCACTGGTATACTGATTGACGAGTGAGCTCTTCCTACTTCGCATGTTTACCTTTGAATACAGGAGACATTTTTATAGTAGTGGAGAAACAAATTAAGTAATATCTTGAAGCGGACCACGTATTATACGAGAGGTGGATGACCAACGGATTATTCACCCTTCTTCAGTCAGCTTATATACTAATATATACAGTGGAGCGGAATATCCTCTTATGAACTGCTCTGGCATGTATGCCAGCGATAAGGAGCAAGGTTTACACCACAGAGGCGACACAGTCTCTGTAGATGGTCCGTTCTTGCTATCCGAGACCTTACCTGTGCGTTGCAAGTGAGAATCTCTTCCAGTCGGAAAAACAATTTATGGACAGATATATATAGGTTGATATGATAATATCGTTAGTATATTATACTTATATTAATGTAAATTGAATATGATGAAAGCCTCCTCCTATAATATAATTTAGACTTACGAAAGAAACATCTATCAACCTGGAGAATACATCAAAGAATATCAACAGATGGGCTAATATAGGTTTTGCAGCCATCAGTCTTTTCCTTTAGTAGTATGTTTGTGATTCAAGGACATTATGAGAGGACATTGATTATTGAGTAAGGAATAGGTGTGCATAAAAAGTAAAGAATTATATAATTAATCATAAAAGCTCACTACCATCCAGTGTGTTGAATATTTGTATCAGGTCACACGAACAACTGAAACATAATTAGCCAATGTTACTCAAGCATAGCAGTTGCGCCTAATCCTGAGAATATCATTTCCTATAATGAGAGTGATAATTGTATGAACAATATATAAGATAGATCTCAATATATAGTATATGGCTATAATATACATAGGTATGGATCAATAAATCTATAGTCTGAGTAATATCCGACTAGATGAATAATTCTTTTCTTATATGACTCGAATCTGGAGCATCTTAATTAGTAGGGGAAAGTTGAATAGGACTATATACTTAATTTTGTTATTATAGATCCATATATATTTATGCCGTAGTGGAGATATACTCGATAATGCTCTATGACCTACTAGAGTGTTATTATAAAGAAATCAAGCCTATTATAAATATTGAGGTTGGCTGAGAGCTACCTATTATATGTTGTTTTCTACATATTATAGAGTTGTAATATATTACTGATTTAATATCCGTAGTTTAAAATATATATGATCTAATTTAAAATTATTAAGTTAAAATATTTTTATAAATAAAACTTTGAGGGATGAGGCTAATCTTGATGCCACCAGACAGACATATGACAAATAATTAGATCTTTTTAGACAGTGCGAGGCTTTTTAAGATAATATTTAAGAGGCACAAGATTAATCCCTTTGAAAGAGCCAATTCAATTTACATATGTTCTCCTTGAAAAGGTATGTTGCACAAAGATATGTAATCAAGTTTGACATTTAAATTTTTCTAGCACAAATTATGTGGATAGGAGCTGATTAATAACCATCAGTAACCATATGCAAATATTATCATATGATATAATAATTGCTATTCACAGTTTCATCTATTAACGATTCGCGTCGTATTTTTTTTATTTCTTCTTTTTTTTTTTTTTCTATTGTTTTTCTTATTTTGTTTCAATTTTGGTCTCATTCTCTATTTACATAAGTATTTACTATATATGAGATTTGTATAGAGAAGTATAGAAAGAGAAGAGATATTTCGGAGATCTGTATTACATGTTAGCATCTCGCTAAATTTTTTTTTTTTTTTTTTTTTTTTTTTTTTTTTTTTTTTTTTTCTATGTTTCTTTAGGTTTTGAGATAAAGAAAGGATGGAATGTAAATGTTGATGCAACTTTTATACATTTCGACCCAGCTTTGTATAAGGATCCTTTGCTATTCAACCCTTCAAGATTTGACGTAAAACCTATTTTTCTCACACAATGATCATTTGCATAAATTTGTGCATATATTTATATTTTTGTTTGTAATAATTTCTAATTTTTTGCTTACAGGAAATGCAAAAACCATACAGTTTCATACCTTTTGGAGCTGGACCTCGGACATGCTTAGGAATAGAAATGGGAAAATTGTCTATGTTGGTGTTTCTACACAGGCTGACTAGAGAATATGAGTGAGTAACTAAATGAACTTTTACCGTAATATCAAATCAACTGTATATATGTCAATAAGGTGTATGTGTGGTCTGACTGGTCTTCTTAACTCTTATAGAAGATGGAGGGAGCGAGAGGTTTTAAGTTTTACATAAGATTTTTATCTTAAGACTCTTGTTCATTTATATATATATATATATATATATAGACTTCTTGTTCATTTTATATATTAATATATTATTATATATATTATATTTTATTTTAGGTGCCAGGAAAAAGACTTACTTTTAACTAATATTAATTAAAAACGTTCCTCCAATTTAAATATAGGTGGAGGAATTGGAAAGGATGGAGGACCCTTAAGCATGGAAAAAAAAAAAAGACTAACACATGTTTCCTAGGATTAAAGGGGGACTGGCTTGCCCATTTTTAACCTTGAAGCCCCTAAATTAATGGCGGAGGCATATTAGGTGCAGGAAAGACTTACTACTAATATTAATTAACGTTCCTCCAATTATATAGGTGGAGAATTGAAGATGGAGACCCTAGCATGGAAAAGACTACACATGTTCCTAGATTAAAGACTGGCTTGCCCATAACCTTGAAGGCCCTAAATAATGCGAGGCAAGAATGAGAAATGTTCTCAGTATTGATTGTTCCTGGTTTTTGTTCCTGACTTCTATTTGGTTATTAGACTTGTACAAGAATATGTAATACTATATACTTGCGTAGTTAATAAATAAATGTGTACTTGAAATTCAGATATCTAAATATTAGGCTTCTACAGAAGCATATTATACTTATAATTTTTCTTTTATTTAATAGGATAGAAGCAGAGCGGGTACCTGGAAATTTTGAACTATTCGTACTCGTATCTATTTAAATTTTTACTACCCGCAACCATTTAAATATTCATTTAAGTACCGTATCCGAACTGTTCAAAATTTTACTACTTGTATTTATCTCAAATTCATTTAAAGTACTCCATAAATGGGTAGGGTATCCGAAAATTTTAAACTATCTAACCTAAACTTATTTAAAATGCATTTTTCACTAATAAATGGGTAGGGTATCTGCGGGTACCTATAGCGAAACCATTTATTATAGCGGATAATGGGTAGCGAGTATTCAAAATCTAATATCTGTACCCTACTTGTATCCATTGCGGATAGTGAAACTGAAATGTAATTTTACTATCCGTATCTATTTCAAACTCATTTATAACTATTCGTATCTATTTCAAACTCATTTATAACTATTCGTATCCTTATTGAACCGATCAAAACGGAATGGTATCCTAAAATAATAATCTAAGAGCACGTTTGGAACAAATGAATTCCATAAAAATTTTATGGAATTTATTTGGAAATCTAAGATTTTGTGTTTGAAATAAAAAGAAATACATATTGGAATTATATAGAATTGGATATGTATAACTTAAATTCTATTAAAATGGATGGAATTTGTAACGAATTCCATAAAATTGAATCTTTGAAATATTTATTGATAAAATTACCTTCTATTGTGAACTCAATTATTTTTTATTTTTTTTCCTTTTTGTTGTTTTTTTAGAAAATTCCAAACTAGTAACAACCGATTTTTTTTTTTTTTTTAAATCTAGCATATTGCTATGAAATATTAGTTATAGTTTCTTTTGAAATCTAGTAATAATTTCATAGTAATAACGTTAAATATTACTATAAAAACTGAGTAGCAAACAATTATTTTGAAATGTAATAAAAAACAGTAGTAATATTCTTAATATTATTTGAGTTCCCAAATTAATTATTTAAATCAATAAAATTTTTTACATTAATTAAAAATAATTATTATGATGAATATTACTACTTATATAATTAATTAATAAGCATGGGAGTGTATTTATATGAAATTTATTATTATATTTTAATAAAAAAAATGACAAGTTAAATATAATATAAAAAAAATCAGGTAGTAATATTCTTATATATATTTGAGTTTCCAATTAATAGTTCTAAAATCAATAAAATTTTTTTAACATTAATTACAAAATAATTATTAGATGAAATATTACTACTTTATATAATTAATAATAAGCATGGGAGTGTATTTAGATGAAGTTATTATTAATATTTTAATAAAAAAAAATGACAAGTTTACCTTATACTATATATCACCATAATATGATAAATATTGGAAGAATGTTTGTTATTTATTTTTTGTATAAATTATTCAAATGTCAAAGCGTCATAAATAAAAAATAAAGACAAAATGAAAATTTCAATTTAAAATTTTAGTTCATACATAAATTTTTGTAAGAATTCAATTCAATTTTTTGTATTTTAAAATTATATAATATTTTCCCACTTTCAATTTTAAATTTCATTATTAGAATTCTTTATTTTATGTTGATTTGAATATATATATACTTGTCCTTGCACTTTGTTAATATTCTCTTATCTTTGCTTGAAATTGAAATTCATTAATCCGAAGTTTTAATTTATTGTCGGAAAAAAAACACATTTGATGTTACGTATTTTCTAAGCTAATAATTATTGGCTATTAGGTATAAAATAAAGACTGCAGGTTCATTTCTTTTTTTTCTTATCTATAATATCCCTGTAATTATATTTTTTCTAGATTCTTTTTAGTATTTTTTTTAAAAGAGTAATGGGAGTTGTTAATTGATACAACGACTATGATTATATAATTGAATGCTCCCGAAATGAGTGTTAAAATTTTTGAATATATTTTATAATCTATTGATTAAATTGAAAAATAAAATTTAAATCATTTGCAAGGACTTAAAATATGAAAAAAAATGACAAGTTATTATATTATATATAATAAATATAATTGATGTTTGTTATTTATTTTTGTTAAATTATTATGTCAAGCGTATTATAAAAAATAAAGACAAATGAAATTTCATTTAAAATTTTATTCTAAACATAATTTTGTAGAATTCAATTCAATTTTTTATTTTAAATTTAAAATTTTCATAATTTTAAATTTTCATTATTGAATTCTTTATTTTTGTTGATTGATATATATATACTTGCTGCACTTTGTTAATTCTCTTATTGCTTGATGAATTATTAATGAGTTTAATTTATTTCGAAAAAACATTGATGTTACTATTTTTTCTGCTAATATTATTGCTATATATAAAATAAATGAGGTCATTTCTTTTTTTTCTTATTATATATCCCTGTAATTATATTTTTTTCTAGATTTTTTAGTATTTTTTTAAAGAGTATGGAGTTGTTATTATACACGACTATGATTATATATTGAATCCGAATGAGTTTTAAATTTTGAATATATTTTAATCTATTAATGAAAATAAAATTTAAACATTTGCAAGGACTTAAAATATGAAATTTTAAAATTTAATTAAGCATTAATTAATTCATTAATTAGAATGAAATATGAGTATATTTGTTTGTATTAGTATTTTTATTAAATTTATATGTCTATGGTATTTTAGAAAATAAAGACAAATATATTTTCACTTAAAAATTATTCTAAATATAATTCAATTGAATTTTTTATTTTAAATTATAGCATACTAAATATGACGAATTTATTTATAAATAAATTTTACTGTCATAATTCATTTGTAAATTCCTTCCGAGAGTAGTATCACGGAGTTCTTGTGTATCGTAGTAAGTCCGTCCATCTTCCTGCAGGTCCGAAGGCGACTTGTGCTATGACTTGAGATATGCTTATGATTTTTTAAGTACTCTAATGTGCTAGTACGCCGCTCACGGTTTTTCTTTCTTTCTTTTATTTTATTTTTTTTCTGCCAAAGGTAAACCAATGACATGTTTAACGTTAATATGAATAAGAGAATTATAACAAGAATTTGTTTTTCTAACTTTTCTTTTGGGACGGTCTAAATGCAACGTAGAAATTATATATGATAAAGTGTTTAATGCAAATAAATCTAGCTAGAATTAGAATTTATAATTCAAACAATTCAAAATTTTAAGTTGCAATTTAGGGTCCGTTTAATTTAATTATTTATATTAGTAGATAATTGATAACTAATGGCTATTAGCCGATAGATAATTTTGATAATTGTTGCTGTTAAATGAAAAAAAAAGCATTAAGGAAATAATTATTTTATATATTTAACAATTTTTATATATATTTTATTTTTAAAGAGAACATATTATTTTTTATTTTAATGTATTATATAAATAAGAATTATAGCTTAATTTTTTAATAATATTTAGTAAAATTTATCATTTTTGAAGGGAATATATTAAGATTTCATTAAAAAAAACTTTAAATCAATATAAATATTATAGGAAGACATGACCCCTATCTTGCATAGACATAAAACAAAAACTATTATAACTAAAATAATTAATGTTGGTTGATCTAATAAGAAATCCTAATCAAAATTAAAAGGTGAACTTGAAAAAAACAGAAAGATCTTCAAAAGTGGTTGGTTTAATAAACTCCCCGAATTTTCTATACATGTCTTAATTATCTATGAATTAGTTGCTTGTGGCAAATGCAGAGGATTTGAACCATTAAATCCAATAAAGGAACAGACCATATTGCCAAACTCCAAAAGACAAAATAAAGATCATAAACTCCACACGAGATAGAGATAAGACACAAAACAATAGCAGAAACATTAATAATATACATCTATGCAAAAATAGACATAAATTTATAATTTATTAATAAAAAAATATAAAAACTTGCAACAAAATAAAAAATATAAGAAACAGCTGTCACAAGAAATAAGAACCAGTCCCATCCCGTATCTACATGCTTGGTTGGTGTTTCAATGATGAAAATGGAAGAAACTTTTGATGATGAATAAGCCTACTTTCACGTTGATTAACTAATTAGGGATTTTCTGATAGTAAAATTTATCATCTAATATAACTATAAATAAAATATTTATAAAATATTAATTTGAAAAATTTATTAGTAGTTATTGTTTCAAGGTTAATAGAGTTTAAATAAATGATTCCAATTAGCCCATGGCTGATACTAAAAAGTTCAAAAATGTAACTGATTAATTCAACAGTTATTTGTGACTTCTATCACTTATCAGCTTTATTAAAAAAAACTTACCAAACGCTATTTTGGATTAAATTAGATGATCACAGTAGATTAGATTTCAAAATTTATCAAAATATCAAATCATATTTAAATTAAAAATAATTAAATAAACTCATCCTCTTTTTCAAATCCAACAGCTGAAACTATATCAAACCAAGATATTAAGCTAGATTATTTATGATAACAATTTAGAGGTAGAGATTATCTTGTCAATTACGTGCAAAGAAGACAGAGACTAAGAGATTGTATAAATCTAATAAGTACAGAGAAATAAGAAAGAATTTAAAATAAAAAAAAAAGAAAAAAAAATTTGAACAGGGAGAGAATTCCTTTTTCACTTTGTTCCAGCATACATATATTATGATATTAAGTTTTTTTTTTTTTTCTGATTTTATTTTAATAATATTGATTTTTATTTTTATTTTTTTAAAAAAAACATGAAGGCATGTACGGGCAATCGCAACCAGGCAAGCTAACTTCCCAAGGCCAACTATGATTTGCTGGCTTCCTACTTTTCACTTGCGGCTTCCCACGAGCCCTTCATTTCTCAACGGAATTACAATTCCCTCTCTCTCCAGATCTTTAGGACTCGCTATTCGAATAAAGAACATCTGCAATTCTCACTTAAAGAAAAATCAATTCTCATTTTCAGTAAATTATCTGTTCAAACTCTTAAATTGTAACAATCAACCACTACTACATCTTACATCCATAACCATATACATTGCATACTCTCATTGTCGTTTCATTCCTCCGGTATGCTCGTTTTGATACCATTTAAACTTCATTATGTTCTTTTTACTGATAGATCGGATTTTGTTAGTGATGAATCAGTTCATTATTTGAAAAATTAATTTGGGATCTGAATCATGATTTTGGCAATTGCAATATACGCTTCATTTTGATCACATTGCGGGGATGATCTGAGATCTGTTTTTCTGATTGTGAAAGTTGTTTGATTTATGACTGCAAAATGCAACCTTTCATTGAAGAAGCTCTTTTTGATTGAATTGCTCTGTTGATTTGTATGGTACTTTAGTATCATAAGCTGGTTAAATCACGCCTTGTAGTTTTTTTTTTTTTAATTATTATTCAAAATAAAAGTATCATTTTTTCTGTGTATTGTCCTCAGTTAGAATTTCCCATTTGCAGACTTGAAATGGGTATTTAATATTTTTTTTTTTTTTGAAAGAGAATATTTTTTTATTTTTTGGTCCGTAATTATTTATTATTTGTTGCTACTGGCTCTCTACTTATTAATTGTTATATTGCTTTCTCCGTTTGAGACTTCATAGTGTGACCAAATAATCATTTTCTGCTCTGTTAATTGTAGATGGACTTATGCAGGGAGGCTGAGGGGTAGAAGTCTTGAAATAATCAGTTTTGCAAAGTAATTTAAAATGGCTCCCGCTAGCAAAGCTGATAAAAAGGCAGCGGTAGATGCAGCTGCATGGATGTTCAATGTTGTCACTTCTGTTGGGATTATCATTGTCAACAAAGCTTTAATGGCTACTTATGACTTCAGTTATGGTGGGTTTACTTTCTTTCTTTCCTGTTTTCATCTATAAATTCCTTTTTTTAATTCAGGAAATAGTTGGTATTGAAAAAAAATTCTGGAAAAAGTTGATAGTATGCTTGCTATGTTACAGAACCCATTTCTTTTTGTGAATTCGGTTTTCCTAATTCTTAAAAAGAAAATTCAGGAAATAGCTGATAGTATGCTTGTTATGTTTCCAGAAAGCAATTTCTCTTTGTGAATTCTGTTCTCCTAATTCACCTCTCATTGTCTTAAATGTTGAGCGATATTAATCACGCTTATAGTCTGCTATGGCCTTTCAGTTAAAGCAAAAGCTTTGTTAATAGATCTAGCTACTTGCCAAGAATTTTGGAGTTTGGATTAATGCTTCAAGTTTAGCACTGGAATGGTTGTGCTCTGTCCTCCTGTTGTAGAAGTGTCTGGTGTATACTGAACCCAATAGGAACATTTTTGGGGTATTAGTATGCAGGCAGTGTTGGTTTTTTGGATTGTGATGCGTAGAGGCAGTGAATTTTCTGCTTTTGGTTGCGCTGTATATGCAGCCATTCTGTACTTTATTAAATGAAAATAAAAGTTGACAACAATGTGGCTACTTATGAGGTTTGGAACGTACGTTGCTTGTAATAATATTGTAGGTTGCTTTTTGTTGGAGTTGAAGGTAGTGAAGGGAGTGGAATGGATTTAGTGTGGCTCTCCTCTAGGAGTTTTCTAATATTGCTAAGAGATTGAGTATGGATTTTCTGACTGTTGATACTTTATTGTCCAATAGATTTTCTCTAAGGTATTCTCCAAGAGATTGAGTATAAGGTCCATTGCTACTTTATCTCTCATAATCAAAATGCGTTTGTTGAATGTAAGCAAACCTTGGATGTTAGTGGATATTATTGATTGTAATATAGAAAATAGACGAGAGATATTGATCTCTAGTTGGACTCTGACAAAGCTTACAACTGAGTGAGGGAGTTCCTTGATAAGGTTATGGATAAGAAAGGTTTTGGAGCTAGGTGATGGAGTACTATTGGAGGTTGCTTATCTTTGGCTTGTATTCTCTATTATTTTAAATGAGGCAGTAAAGATTCTATTAACGTATTGATGAAACAATCAAACTAATTTGAAGAATTTCTTAAATAATTGCTGAAAAACATTTATTATAAAAGAAACAGATAGTAACACCCTTAGAAGTATCAATAAAATGTTTCACAAATGTCAAAAAAAAAAAAAAAAAAAAAAAAAAAAAAAAAAAAAAAAAAAAAAAAAAAGAAGAGAGAGAGAGCATTACTTTCATCCTTTGCTCTTTATCAAGTCAAAGTATACAAGGTAGATCACTGTCTATAAAATAATACTGTCTCTTTATTTTTTCTTATTAAATCTCAAGAGAAAGACATATTAATTGGAATAAAAAGATTTGAAATAACTCTAAGATTGTTGAAGGTGAAGTTAATAAGTTTATAAATAAAACAATCCCTCTTATTGGTTATCCTTGATCAACACAGCCTTAAATGCTTCAATTGCCTTTAATGAACGGTTACATATTTCAGGTTAACCCTACCCCATAATACCAATAGGCAGTATGGAGGAAGAAGCATTGTGCCTAGGAATCAACGACACAAAAACTTTGTTAGGATTTATCCATTCTTCTTTATCTGGATTAGGCTGACAAGAATGGTTGGGACAACAAGCATCCATCTGGTTCGTTATTTGTCACGGGTTGCAGCTTCAAGGGACACTTAAGGGGATCTCCTTTAATTTATGTTATGGTTAGTCCAGTTCTGGATATTGAAGTTGGAAATGATAAAGCTATATCTCCCATTTGCAGTTTGTTAAAAACATTCTCATTGTCCAATAGGATGAATAGTTTTCTTAATGTGCTAGTCTTGTTGTTGATATTCAAGAGTGTTTGGCTTACAGATTAATACATCTAAGAATGGTATGTCATGGAGTAGCTGAAATCATACAGTTGTTGATGTTTGGCTTCTTTGGTGGAATGGGTGTGGTAAAATATCTTCTCTATAGTGGTAGTTCTCCTAGGTTGATAAGATCAAAGGATACATTGATTACAACATGCAACCTTGACTTGTAAATTCTGTAATTCGGCTTTCTTTTTTCTTTTTTTTTTTTTTTTTTTTTTTCTCCCCCTATCCAGATGACTAATAAGCTTTCGATTTGGCTTGTTTTCTTTTTTCTTTTTTTTTTTTTTTTCTTCCCCCTATCCAGATGACTAATAAGCTTTCGATTTGGCTTGTTTGACTTACAAACTAAGCCAAGTTCAGTTGATCTATTGGCCGAACCGAGCTTATACCTTCAGTGAACAGTTTTGATTTATTTATAGGACCATCTGGAACTGAGGATTTTGAGTGAATTTGTGAGGACAAAATAAGAAGGCTTTAGTTTAGTTGGATTAAGTGATTTTGTTCAATCTCTTTGTTTTCATTTTTCATTTTTCTGTTTTCCCCTTTTAATCAGTAGAAACCTTATAGCCCATGTGTTTTAGTTTCCTCTCCCTTAATTATATCCTTTTTCATATATAAAAGTGACATTAAAGCAGCTAAGATAATGGTTGGACTTGTTGTGGTTGTGATGGTGATATTCCCCATTGCAACCAATAAGTTAAAGGGAAAAATGGTTTTTGGCATCCAGCTTTCTTATTGTAAAATTTTTAGTATCCTGCTTATCATATGTTTTTCCACATCTTTATTGCTTATGATTTTCTGCAGCTACAACACTGACCGGCTTGCATTTTACTACCACGACCTTATTGGCTTTTGTTCTAAGATGGCTGGGATACATCCAAGCCTCTCATCTACCTTTCTCAGAGCTTTTAAAATTTGTCTTCTTTGCAAACTTCTCAATTGTTGGAATGAATGTTAGTCTAATGTGGAATTCAGTGGGATTTTATCAGGTATAATCTTTGTTTTGGTGGGTGGCTAGTTATTTCTTGCAATAAATTCATTACATTTTGTTCCATTTAACTGTCAGGTTGCAAAGCTGAGTATGATTCCTGTGTCCTGCCTTTTGGAAGTGTTGTTTGACAAGATTCGGTACTCACGAGACACAAAGCTGAGCATAGCAGTTGTTCTCTTGGGTGTTGCTGTCTGCACTGTCACAGATGTCAGTGTCAATGCTAAAGGCTGCATCGCGGCTTTTGTTGCCGTCTGGAGCACCTCTCTGCAACAGTATGTAAGTTTTCCTTTCCATTTCACAAAACATGAGCAATTAGTTGTCTTGTATTGTGCATACCTACACTTGTTTATGTACATGCCTCAATTTATCTATAAAGGCAGTATGGTATTCTATTCTAATCTTAATGAGGTCTGTGCATTGTTAATCGCAAGTATCTAAAATTCTATCTTAGCTATTCAGGAATGGCTCATCTTACAACTATGTTGAATTCTTAATTTGCAGTATGTACATTACCTTCAAAGGAAGTATTCACTTAGTTCTTTCAATCTACTTGGTCATACTGCTCCAGCCCAAGCTGCAACACTGCTGTTAGTAGGCCCCTTTTTGGATTACTGGTTGACAAACAGGAGAGTCTATACTTACAACTATAATATAACCTCAGTGGTGAGTTATCCATACATTTGACTTTCGTTTAGTTTTGTGGAATTTAGTTTTGCACATCTTAGTTCTTATGTTCACAGTTTAGCTTTAATTTGTACATACCTGGACATTCTTATTGCTGTATTGAATTGTGATCACTTGCTTATTCTGGATGATGCGAGTATGTAAGTAGGTGTACATTTACTTCTACTTGGGAATGGATATGGTTCCCTTCTCCTCATGCAGTTGATCTCCAAATGCATGTATATGCATGATCACATTGGTATTTAGGCCAGTTAAAACATAAGCTTTCTTGCGGGAAGTGATTTGGCTTGACCAGAACTTCAAATTTGGGAAACCAATTCGATTCTGCAATCTAGTATACTTCCTAAAATCACTAGTTTTTGGTGCTGATTTCATACCATTTAAGGGGCAAATAATATGCATTCCCACCTACAAAGCAAGTTTTTCTAAAACTACAAGCAAGTCAAATAGTTTCTTTTTTCTTTTTTTTTTTTTTTTAAATGGGGGGAAGCGCAATCCTGGTTTACACTAACTCTAAATGTCCTCTAGTCTTATGCCATGCTCTTAAAGAGTAAGGCATTAGTGTCGTCACCCTACTTTTCCAGTGAAATCTCGGAACACAAACAAATCAAATAATATATGGCATGCAACTATGTGCAAGTCAAAAAACGGTATATGAATAACAATAAATATGCAAATGAATACTGCTTCATCACATGTCTTGTTTAGATTTGACCCCGTAATTGGATTTGCTTTTTTGGTTTTTGTGTCTCGAAGTTCTGAATAGTGCAGCTAATTCAATGGCATGTATTTGCTTGCATAAATGAATAAACTTTCTTTTCGCTACGTACTCTAAATTAATCCTTACAATTCTCTCTCCATCTTGGTCTCCACAGATGTTTATCATTCTATCTTGCACCATTGCAGTAGGGACCAATCTCAGTCAATTCATATGCATTGGCAGATTCACTGCTGTGTCGTTTCAAGTGCTCGGGCATATGAAGACGATCCTTGTATTGATATTGGGGTTCTTCTTCTTTGGGAGAGAAGGCCTTAATTTACAGGTAGTTTTGGGTATGGTCATAGCTGTAGTTGGAATGATTTGGTATGGCAATGCCTCATCCAAGCCAGGAGGAAAAGAGCGGTGGAGCATTGCACTACCTACAAGCAGACAACAGAAACACAGTAGTTTATCAGAATCGAGTGAACACGACGCGAAGGTTTAAGCATTCATGTAGGAGAAGCATAAAGCGTACAGGGGTAGGGGTAGCTAATTCCAGGAACTCATTAAATTATTTGAGAGTATAATGCACCATTTGATGCTAATTAATTTCTTTTGGTTCTATTATTCTCATCTTCCTAATACTGATTCCTGTCAAGGGAAAGAAGATTTTTTGCTTAGGTTTACTGGGTTAGGCTGCAATTATTATTTTTTTTTATTTTTTTATTCAGGAATATAAACTATGATGATCATTTTTCCTTTTCTATTTGATTTACAAACCATATGTTCTTTCTTGACCACAGCTAGATTTGCTACCCTACCACTGTAGTAGTAAGTACAGGATGTATTATTTTTATCTTAATAATTTCTTTTTTATTATTAATATATTATTTGTCATTTCTATGTGATTATAGACAATTTTTAATATGTTTTACCTGGATGAAAATGATAAGTACTGCTACATGCAAAACAGGCTGTCTGGGAGTAGGGAAAATTAAGGAGGTGAAAATGTGGAGAATGCATTCTCCCCTGTTTTTTTTAGAGAGACATGGATATTTATCTATATTATTTATCTATGTGATGTCAGGGAGACATGGATATCCAAAAAAAATCAATATTATTTTTTTTTTTTAGAGAGAGGAAAAAAATCAATTTTATTTTGAGAACAACATGAAAATCTATATTTATCTATCTATTTATAGAATTTCTAAAGCATAAATGCTTATGTGGTAACATATTAAAATATAGAAGTGATGATGTGATATTTTATTTTTCATTATGATTAATCTTTTTTTGCATTTAATAAAAGTTAAATTTTTTTATTAAATAATGAAGTTATAAATTAAAAAATTCTAATAAGATAATTTTTACCTTAATTAATATTTTAACATTTAATAAATAGTTTTTTCTATAAAAAATAACAAAAATCAAATAGAGTTATAATATAGTTATAGTTGTTAAATATTAATTAAATAACGTAGTTACAGTAACAAATAGAATTAAAATATATCTCATTTAATTATAGAAATTTTGAATATATGAGAATTCAAAGAGAAAAACTAATTAATTACTTAACTATATAATTTGAATTACAATAATTAATTGTGTTAATAAATATTTCAGTTTATTATTTAAAAATTTCAAAAGGAGTATATAATGTCACCTTTCATCATTTAATCAAAAAAATATATAAGCAAATTATTTAAATTAAAACAATGCAATATAAATCACAATAATTTTTTTATAATTTATCTATTCAAATCAATTAAAAAATAAAAATTATATAATTTGTGCATCGGGCGAGTACATGGCTAGATAATATATAATTTTAAAATATTATCTTACAAATATAATTGATAGCCTCAAAATATTATGTTCATAGGGATAAGGAAATTGCTAAAATTGTATTGAGAGAGAAATGATCATTAACCCTTTGTCTATATAGGGTTTTGTCTTATACGTAGAGTATCAGATAAGGTTGGTTTCATGAGGGATTTTAGGGAGAGATATTAGAAGCATTATTTTCTAATATTAAGCCTAAATCTTCTTATTTCTGTTGACCCTTTATCTGTACACTATTTCTCTAGTGTCCAAACAGAGTCGGTGTCTATCAGATGTCCCCCCACAAGTCTGAAGACATTTATGTCGGAGCTGGTCTTCTCTCATGACTGCTTAATAGCTGCTTTTATTTAGTTAAGCTTTTGCAAAGTTTTGATATTAATATGGATTTGGAAGACCCAGCCTAATGAGCAGTTCCTTGGGATTTTCCAAGGAGCTTAAGTATTCCAACGTGGATGCTTGGCTTATCCGAACCCTTCGTGTACTGAGCGTCCGCTTGTGGATAAATTACTACTTTGCCTAGAAGAGAGTGACGGCTCGTATCGGCTGCGTAAAATGGGCTTCAGAGTGGTTTAGGCCCATTTCTGGCTCGTTAGACTTTGAAGCTGGCTTAGGCCCATTTATAGAGATGCCAGCTATTAGGGGTGATTGATATGTCTTAACCGTCCCCTTAATGGCGATATTTAAACTTCAAACAGGGGACTCTTCAACTGCTGTGGCTTTTCAGTTTCCGGTGATGGTTCGTGAATCACATCTTCACTATATAAAGGCTGTTTTCTTCTCATTTTGGGACTTTTGTGATTCTTCCTGCATTCTCCTACATTCTTGCATTTTTGCTTTATCTCGACAACTGCTCCCTTACTTCAGGTAACTTGTAGCACATTTTCTATGCTTTCTTTCTGTTTTTCCTTTCCTGCTATCATGAGTTCTTGTCATCAGTCCAAGGGAAAAGCCCTTATGCATGAATCCTCCAAGTCTTCTAGTCATGGGTACAGTCGGTTGGAATCGGAGGGGAAAAATCGCCTTTTGAGGGTAAAGGAATCAGAGTCTAACACTGACAGTGAGGTTGGTCTGATCTGAAAGAGATCTCAAGGTCTACCAATCCTGGCCTGAAGTAGTGGCGCAATCTCAGGCTCTTAGGCTAGAGTTGTACCTGCTCACCCTTATTTACGAGATGAACTGACCCCAAGACATGTTGGGCATCAGCTCTGATACCACTTGTTGGGCATCAGCTTTGATACCACTTGTTGGGCCTCAGGTACCACTTGTTGGGCCTCAGGTACCACTTACCTCAGCTCTGATACCACTCGTTAGGCCCTCACAAAGAATCAAGAGAAAATTGAGCAGCAGAAAAATAGAAATGGGACATACAGAAATTTATGTGGTTCACCCTCAACTATTTAAGGCTACGTCCACAGGACAAACTCCGAATCATTCTTCCACTGTTTAAAAATAGTAGGTACATAAAGAGTAATACAAAAATAGTGGCACTCAAAGTGTTTTCCAAAAACACCCCAAAATAATTTTCTCACTATTTTTCTCTCCCCTAGTTTTAGGAAACCCATAGTAGGTAACAAAAGAGTAATACAAAAAATAGTAGAGTAATACAAAAATAGTGGCACTCAAAGTGTTTTCCAAAAACACCCCAAAATAATTTTCTCACTATTTTTCTCTCCCCTAGTTTTAGGAAACCCTCCCTAAAACTAGATAACTCTCTCTCTACATTTTTTCTTCTTCTTCTGTTGTGTTTTTTGTGAGCTGCAATTCATTCTGTTTATAGGAGAGGAGGGCGTGTTAATAACGCGTCCACCGATTTTTTTCAAAGAAAACGTGTGTACTGTACACACATTTTCCTCTTTTTTTTTTCTTCATTCAAAGCGTTTGGGTCCGATATGTCGGAGGGACCCACAATAATTCTCCCCCTCCCGACGACATAGTGGGACTCTCCATTCCTGCTGCTTCGACACACAGCTCGGACTTCTCCTTTTTGCCAGTTTTTGACAAGCAAATACACTTCTGTAATCTTAACTGCCACTGATAGAGCCCCCCTGCCCAAATATGATGGATATCCTGAAAATCCATTTATTGCAGTCCCAAGTTCGCTTTCCAGGATTGAAAGAAACTGACTCACTACTCCAACTATGTGAAGCATATGCGGCCGTGTACAAACCATGACATTACATCAAGTTTCCAACTCTGAAGATATGAATCTTTTCCATTTCTTCCTTCTCTCCATTCGTTAGAAGGCACTGTTTAGAAAACTCAATTTTAAGTGATTAGTTAAGAGGACAAACTATCCGCTTTAGCGTTTGCCATTCTAAACCTTTGAAACTCTAATGTACTTCTCCTGTGACAACCCATTAATTCTTGGGCTCTCGATTCTTCATGCCCAAGAATTTGCACTTTGTGTCCCAAAGTCTTCATAGTAAAAACTTACTTTAGCTGTTTCTTCAAGCTGGAATCTGATCAACAATTCAACAATTAACCACATAGAGCAAAAAAAAATTACATCATCAGAGAATTAGAAACACAATGATCTGAAGTATCTTTCTATAGCCTTGCTCCCTGCAAACAGACTCAAACTTCTTGTACCACTTTCTTATGCCTACTTCCAGCCATACAGGCTCTCTTCAGTTGCAAACACAATCCTCTTTTTCTACCAAAAACCCTTTAGCAGCTCGCATGTATATTCTTCTTCCAAATTTCCATGTAGGAAGTAGGTCTTCTATCCCATTGCGTCGATTTCCAAGTTCAAAAACTGGCGTCGTTCTGACCATTTTCGAATTGGATGTCATTTCACCAACTTGGTTAAAAGATCAAAATCAATACCCTTTTCCTGAACTAGAATCCTTTACAACCAGTCTAGCTTTGATATCGTGTTGGGAGCTATTTCTTCCTGCTTGAATCCTCTAAAACAACCCAGTTATTTTCAAAGCTTCTCTTTGCCTTTAGCAAACTTCACCAGCTCAAATGTTTCATCCTCATGCAAGACTTCATTTCATCTTGCATGCTTCAACTAGCTCCCTTTTTTCCATTTCCATGCTTTCTTCAAAGCTTTCAATTTCTCCCCCATCAGTCTTTAGTACATACTCATTACTGGATATAGTAGATGGTTGTCAGACTCTACTGATCTTCTTAATGTTTTGAGAACCTTTCGTTGCTGGTGTTTTTTGAACCTATGAACACCATAATCTTCATCTGGTTCATCTGATCAGGAACTTTTAATTCAATGGCACTTGTTCTTGTGGAACATTTTCTTCGTCTCCAATTTGTCTGCGTTCTATTGGAGGGACTCTCTGTATGTCTGTTGAGTCTTCATCAGATCTATTGGCACTCTACTTCAATATCTTCAATAGTTTAATCTTCAACAAATACAGCATTACGAATTCTTATAATTGTCTTCTGGATTGGGTCATAAAACCTATAGCCGCATTGGTCTTGGCCATAGCCAATGAATACACACCGTCTAGTCTTGACATCGAGCTTAGACCATTCATCCTTCGGGATATGCACGAAGGTTTTGCAACCAAACACTCACAAATGATCATAGAAAACATCCTTTCCTAACCATACTCTCTCTAGAGTATCATACTGTAGAGGGAAAAAGAGTGAACGGCGAACTGCTGCGAGTAACGCTTCACCCCAAATATTTTAGACAACTTTGCATGTGAGAGTAAATATCTGACTCTCTCATCAAAGTTCTGTTCATCCTTTTATCCAAACTGTTCAGTTGCGGCGTCTTGGGAGGTGTCGTTTGATGTCGAATGCCATGCTCTTTGTAGAAAGCATCAAATGGCCCAGTGTATATTATCACTTCAGATTCCTGCCTGTTGTCTCTTTCAGGTTTAGAAGACTTCAATGTGTATACCCAGGTCTTCCTAGAATGGTCATCGATAAATATCACAAAATATCGATTTCCACCATATGACATTATCAATGGTCCACACAAATCTGAATGAAT